TATTTATATTTGTAAGTGTGTTCGGTAGAATTTATAGCTTTTCAAAATAAGTTAGTAGCCTCATAACTTTTTTTCTATCTTTGTCCTCATTATTTTAAAGAGGAATAAAGTATAAATAAGTCACTGAACTATTTGGGAAAAAGCAATTAAGCCATCGAACTCAAATAACCCCCAAATAAGCCACTGAACCCGGAAAAATAAAACAATTGACATTTTTAACAGGTTACCTTCCCACTGTTGCTGACTGGGTTGCCACATATTTATTTTATTTTATTTTTCATTATTATATAATAATCTACATGGATTAATTTTAAGCAAAATTTCAAATTAAACATCTAACCCTAAACTATCTCTCCCTAATCGCAATTTCTGATCTTTGGTGAAGTGAGTGTAAGCACGTGGATCCAGGAACTTACTACACAGCACGTTTGGTTCACAGAATGAATTTTGAGGTAATAGGAATGCTATTCCATAAGGAATGGAATAGGCAAGGAATAGAATAGGAATTGTATTCTATTGTTTGGTTCGCGGAAGGAATAGACTATAGGAATTATATTACAGTGTTTGGTTGATTTAAGGAATAGAAATGAAATATGTTTTAAAAGACATAAATACCCTTATAAAAATATGTGATGGTGGCGATGGTGGTGGTGGTGGTGGCGGTGGTAGTGGTGGTGGCGGCGGCGGTAGTGGTGGTGGTGGCGGCAGCGGTGGTGGCAGTGGTGGTGATGGTGGTGGTGGCGGTGGTGGTGATAGTGGTGGTAGCGGTGGTGGTGGCGGTGGTGGGGGCGACGGTGGTGTGGTGACGGTGACGATTGTGGCAGTGGTGGTGGGGGCGACGACGGTTGTGGCGGTGGTGCTGCTGGGTGGTGGTTCTGGTGGCGGTGGCGCGGCGGCGGCAATGAAGGTGATGGTGGTGGTGGCGGTGCTAGGGTGGTAGTGGTGGTGGTGGCGACGGCGGCGACGGTTGTGGCGATGGTGGTGGTGATGGCGGCGGCGGTGGTGGCGGCGGCGACGGCGGTGAAATAGAATAAATTTATATATAGGATAAAAAAATTAGGTTAAAGAAATGGGTAAAAAAGAAAATAGATTCTAAAATCTATTCCTGAGCGTTTAGTAATAGACTAATACCAGGGGGTCCTAGTAATAGCTATTACCTTATTTGAGGTAATAGGCTATTACCGGGAATATTATTTCTGATAATAGAAACGGTTACCAAACAAAGGAATAGGCCTATTACTGGGAATGCTATGTCATTCCCGGCCTATTCCGTGAACCAAACGGGCCATAAAAGTATTCTTATAGAATTCCTGGTACTGTTCTTTCTCAACATCCTTTGGATTACGCATCTGAAATTTGAAATACATATGAACATATCAATCAATCCCATGAACCAAAAAGAAAAAAAAAAATCTAATCTGATTTAGCAAATATTCATAGCAGAAACAATTATCCAAGATAGAAAATGCTCAAAATTCCAGCAAAACAAAAATAAAAACTAAATCGACGAATACGAATTTGAACTAAGCTTGAAAATACCGAAGCGAGCTAACGAAAGCTTTGAAGTTACGGAGAATTGAGGCTTTGAAACTAAGTAACTAACGCTGAAGAAAGAGAGACAGAGTATGTTCGCAGGGACGGTTCAGAGAATTCCCGATTGGAAAACAACGCCGACTCCCTGGGATCATTTGGCTGTCAAAATGGAAAACTACTGGGACTGGGAATTAACGAATGAGACAAAGCCAGTGAGTTCCAGCAACTATTTTTCTACTATGTATTCGATTGTCATAAAAATTGAGTTTTTGTTTTTTTTTTTTTTTTTTTTGGTTCATGAGATTGATTGATATGTTTATATGTATTTTAAATTTCAGATGCGTAATCCAAAGGATGTTGAGAAAGAACAGTACCAGGAATTCTATAAGAATACCTTAGTGAGTTCCTGGATATAAGAATACCTTAGTGAGTTCCTGGATCCACTTGCTTACACTCACTTCACCAAAGATCAGAAGTCGCGATTAGGGAGAGATAGTTTAGGGTTGGATGTTTAATTTGAAAATTGTTTAAAATTAATCCATGTAGATTATAATATAATAATAAAAAATAAAATAAAAATAAATATGTGACAACCCAATTAGCAAAAGTGGGAAGTAACCTGTTAAAAATGCCAATTATTTTTTTTTTCGGGTTCAATGACTTATTTAGAGATTATTTGGGTTCGATAACTTAATTACTCTTTTCCAAATAGTTCAATGACTTATTTGTACTATATCCCTCTTAAAGAAGAAATAACCCTTTGCCCTTTCCAAATCCCCATTAAAATCCTTGTCTTCCCAATTATTATTATTATTATTATTATTATTATTATTATGAGATGAAGAAGATTCGCAACAATATTGATACTTTATTACGAAATGCTACATAATGATTATACTAATAATTTTATTTCAAAATGTTAATTTTTTTTAAAGACAAAATGTTAAATTTTAATATATAAAAAATAAATCTAAATTTTATGAAGATATCCTTTTTTATTTTTTCACATTTATTAACTTATCAAAAAACTAATTTTACCAAACACTTTCAAGCATAACAACTAGCTTAATAGTTTTTCAATTTTCACCTCCTAGCTTATAGGTTTTTAACTTTCAACTACCTTTTCAGCTAAGTTTGCCAAACATAGCCTAACTCCTTTTTTTTTTCTTTTTTTTTTTTTTAAGAAATTCTTTTGACCAAATGATAGCTTGTTCCAATTCCAACCAAAATAGCTGGATGGTTAGATTAATAATCACAAAATTACAAATTTAATTCATACTGACCTATTAGTTTATTGGTTTAAATCAAATAACTATAGAAAACTAATTTAGGTGTAACCCTTAAGATCATAATACGAGGTTTACCAAGTGCACACCCCCTTTCCCTCAACACCCAAGGCAAACAATAATTGTCTCAAGGTGAGGACTTCAGTAAGAAAAGTGTAAATCTAATGCGCTCTTGTTTCACCAACTTCAATGAATACAAGAGCAATAGAATATTCAACGCTTCACCCCCGCTTAAAATCAAAATACAACTTCATTTATGGTGCATTTGGAAACCCGAAAAATGACTTTTGAAAAATGTTTTCCAGGTTGGTTTCTTGGCAAGAGGGGGGAAATGATGTCTTAGTCAAAGGAAAATAGGTATGTTTTGGAAGAAAATGACTTCCTTTTTTTTGGGGGAGTCATTTTCCAATACACTATTGGTATAGTGTATACATTACTATATACTATATATGCCTAACTTATGATATAGTGTGTGTGTGTGTATATATATATATATATATATATATATATATATATATATATGTATGTATGTATGTATGTATGTATGTATGTATGCACCAAATTACCCAACTTCTTCATAAGAAAAAACAGACAGCATCCTATAGCATCACAAGGCTAAAGTTCACAGAAACAAATATGATTCTAGTTTAATTCTTTAAATGTATAAATCCTCTTTCAATTGAAACACTCAAAGAAGATAGTTCTGGTTGCCCAACTTCTGCCTTTATCAGGCATCATAGAAGAGGTGGCAAACAGACTCTAATAGGAATTAATGATACTACATCATTAGAACTAAGCATAAAAACATATTGATTGTAGTAAAGTGATAAGAATTGTTGTAAGCAACTAATACTAAGTTTCATGGACTATTTAGACTACAATCATTCCAGACGAATCACAATCAACAAAAGCTTGCCAGAAAAGTAACACCATGAAGAAAAAGAGCATTCAAAACAAATTTACTGTCACATAAGCAAAATTGAAATACACGCTTAACATAAACACAGCTAAGGATTGAATGGTCACACAATAAGGTGCCTCAATATCTCACTTGTTCTAATTCTTTGAAGTATCAAAATGAAAACTTAAAAGTAACCTTCATAGATTCACCCTCAATGAACTTCAAGCAGAAGCTGCTGCTGCCTTCTTCCTTGGAGCTGCTTCAGTACCTAATCAATCAACTCACTTCAATTAGCAATTTTTTCCACCCAGAAGCTTGGAAATGTCAAATTCATACTTTATTTTTTTAAAATATAAGAATGAAACGGTAAAACTGTACCTTCCCTGAAGTTGGTCTTGAATCGGCGAGGCACGTTGCGGAGATACCTCATGCGGCCAGTTCCAGTCGTCTTTCTACGGATCGCCTTCACGCTCCAGTTATCTAAAGACGCAAATTTTAGCATTGTAGAGAGATTTCGCGAATGGGAAAAAAAGAATAAGGCTTACATGTCCTCTTGCGGGCGGCTGGGTAAGCACAAGCCGAGCAGCGGCTCTTCTGGAGATGGAAGCTGCGACGGCCACACCTCACACAGAGAGTGTGGGTCTTGTTTCTCCTCTTTCCAAAGCTCCCCGTTCCCTTCCCCTATATTGCAATCACACATACATTCAGTCACAGATCAGCTCTCCCATGATCACTATACAGAAAATTCGCATATGTAAACATAGATCGATAGATAGAGAGAGAGAGAGAGCGCGGGTGATTTCCCAGTTTACCATTGCTGAACAGTTGCAGAAACCCTAATCTCAAACTGGAAGAGAATAGGAGACGAGAACCGGTGGTGTTTATATATGAGGGGCGAGGACTGAAGAATATGAACAAATGCAGGGGTTTTAGGGTTGGGCTTTGCGAAATTTGGGCCAAACAAAGAGATTAGCCCAAATATAGCCTTGAGGCCCAATTTCCGAATCACGTGCCCGAAAGGATCACCTATCAAGACTCGTGCCATCCGAGGCGGTTGGTAATGGTGCCTCGAGAGCCGCTCTAAAAACAGCGATTTTGGAGAGAAGGAAGGCCAGAAACACCAGTTCCGGCGACCATGGCGTTGCTCTCCCTCTCTCTTACTTCAACTCCCACGGCGGCGATGTTGAGTTCTTCCTCTTCATCGGCGACTTCATCCAGCGGCTGCTTCGCCGGCCCAGCTCCTTGCCGACCACCGCAGACCTCCGCTTTTGTGGTGCTGCCGCCTCTCAGCTTCAGATACAACGTTGTATCGCTTAACCGTCGGAAGTCACAGGTCGTGCGTATGGCTCCTGAAGATGAGAAGATGACTCGCCGTTCTCCTCTCGATTTCCCCCTCGTGAGCTCTTCATATCCATTCCCTATCTATTTCATCATTATATTCGCTTATCACTCATTATTTTCACCATTAATTATGCATACGCAAAGCATTCTATTATCTAAAATTGCAAATCTCCAATTTTAGTCCGTTTTAGTTTTTGTTATCAATTTTGTTTTTAGATCTCAAAATATCAATTTTGATACGACTATTGTGCAGTTTAAATTAGTCCCTTGACTGCTTAACTACAATAAAAATTTCATATTTAGTAATCAATGCCAACATTGCGTTATTTTCATCCTCAATTGCCCTGAAAGTTGAACTCACTTTCAACATCTTCACAAAACAATTTGGTTTTGGAATTAACCACCGAAAAAGTCTTATCCCAAAGATTATTCCCAATCTGATAAATTAATTGTCACAGCTTATGACATCATGCTGTAAAAACAAACCATTATGATGGAGGGAAATAGGATGATGGTTGTGCAATTATTTAGGGGAGAGGTCTATAAAATTGAGAATGCCATTATAAAGGAGGAACTAAAAGTGAACTTCTCCAAAATTGAATGAAGGAATCTAAAAGAAGGTTTGTCTAAGTATTAAAATTGAGGAATTTGGAAGTGAAGGAATGATGTTGAAAATGACACTATAGCTGATTGGCCAAAATTGAACTTTACTCATTTTGAATTATCATATACTTTGGGTGCAGCTAAGAATCAATATGTCTACTACTATAGTTCTAGTAAGTATTTGCAATGATACTTGATAACCAATATATAACTAATTAAAATGAGAAAAATAAACGAACTTGCTTGTTTTTATAGGTGATGTTATTGTGATTTCTAACATTATACAAGGTTTAGGTATCAGACTGTATAAATTGTGTGGTATGAGACTGTGTGCTTACTGATTTTGAATATAGAGCTTGAAACTTGAAATGTACATATTCAGAATGAACAAAAATGGCATGCCAATCATGATGGTTTCTTGTAACGCTTTAATCCTTTTGGTATCACATTTGTCCAAATATATATATAAATTCATTATTCAATCATCTGCGAGTGAGATGTGCTGTTATGTCCTAGAATTCTTCACACAGCAACTCCTGTTTGAGAGTTTTTCTTTATCCTTTTCTAGTATTGAAAATACATATATTGAGGTTCATACTTAGCATTTGAAATTTTCTATTTGTGTCACATCATTCTTTGTGTTTTGTTGTTTATTGCTGCCTGCTTCTAGTTTCTTCTAGCAATGGATGAAGATGCTCAAAGCAATCATTTAGTTTAGCAATTTATTTCACTAAAAACATAATTCAATAAATCCTTGTAGTGGTGCAGTCTTCTGGCATCTTTGGCATGTGCTATTTGTCATCTTTATTACCAGTATATTAGGTCATTTCATCATCATAGGCAATGCACATCTTTGCTGGACTTATTTTGCCTGTGGCATACTGGCATTAGTGCAATTCTTGCCCTTGTGAGTTGTGACTTTATTGTTTATTTGAGTATATTTAGACTAGCCAACATGAATTAAAGTAGGATGATTTGCAAGTATAGGTTTGCATCATTGCAATTGTTTGTGTTTTTAACTCAAATATGTGGCAGATTGTAAATGGTGTTCCCTCTCTTACAGTTTCATTCTGGACTCTTGTATCTGCTTCTAATAATTGCTAATACATTTTTTGGCTATGTTATGGATCATGGGTTGCCCTTTGGATATGCAAATATAGTTGGTTTCTTGTTAATTTTGTCATTCTTTGTAATTACTAATCAGAAATTTATCCGCAGTTCTTTTTTTCAAAGCCTTGGTTATTTAATGTCTTTGCAAAAACTGAAAAATCATGAAAGCAATGGCTTTCTACTCTTGAATTTGCTCTTTTGTCCTGATATTTTTCTATTAGTAAATGCCTCCTGTTATATGTATTTCAAATGGAGTAACACCTTAACATAATGCGTTAAAAAAATAATGATGGCAGGAATGGATAAGACCAAAGCCCGGTCGCAGACCAGACATCTTCCCCCAATTCAGCCCTATGAGAACTCCACTGCCACCTCCATTGCCAGTTGATCCTCCTCTAGAAGATGATGAGGAGGAGGAAGAAGAAGAGGAGAAGAAAGAGGATGATGAGCCTGAAAAGGAGGAGGAACCAGAAACACCAGACGGAAAGTAATAGCAGTGGGCATCTTTTGTTGTGAGCTGGCAGAGAGCTTAGAGTTCTTGTATTAAAGGATTTAAAGCTAAGTCCATTGTGGCTTCCACAAGTTTGGATTGTGCTCTGGTTTAGGCTTTAACTAGTATAGCATCATAAGGTACTGTGAAGTCATATTCATTTTTGTGGTCTCCATTTTGTAATGATAAGCTAAATGGTATGTGCTGTTTTTGAAACACAATTAGTTTACTCCCTAGCCCCAATCTTGACAAATTGTCAGTCACCACTCACAAATGTGAAGCTATTGAGCAATGAATTAGTAAGGCAATATCTCTCCTTTTATTTACTGGTAAGTCTTCAATCACCCTAGCGAGTAAAGGATCACATGCTTAAAATGTAAAATCTATAATCGGTACAGGACCACATGCTTTATAGAAAGTTAAACTAAATAATTTTAACTTTAATTATTTTAAATGGAAGTACATCACTCGTTAATGAACAAGATTATAAATAAAATGTATAAATATGATCTTATAAAATAAATTTCATATATCCAAAATATAATTTGAAAGGAGACGAAAATTGAAAATGAAAGGAAGATGTTATACGGAGTAATATTTATTACTTCTTTATTATAAAATAGTTGAAAAAAAAGAATTGAACATATTAACTATTACTCGACTAACAATCACCTCACTCATCTACTTCAAATACTACTATTCCATTAACAAAACTTTATTTTTATTTATTTTTTTGAAGACTTTGTTTAATAATAATATTATAACAATACACAATATTTGAAACTCAAATTATAATTAAATAAAGCTCAAACATATTGTTGGTTATGAATTCTGCAATTTTTGTTCATAAACTTTTTTTTTTTTTTCAAATTGAACAAACTCAATTTTAAATGTTACTATTTTCACCAAATTTCACTCTTTTAATAGTAAATATTATAATTTTTTGTTTTGAAATATAAATATTATAAATTATTATTAGTAATAAAAATGAATATCAGAATAATTGAGTGACGAAAATGTAATTAATAATTCTATAATGTAAGTTAAACAAGGCAAAAGTCGAGCATCAGCTAGAGCCCCGATGGAATGCAAAAAAGATGAAGAAGAGCCTCTCCCGTCGCCACCGCAAACAACTACCGGCGGCGAATCGGAGGAGGAACAGGTGATGAGCGAGGTCCACCTAGGCTGCCCTCCTTACCACTCTGGGCCCCACCTCTCCCGCTTTACCATCTATTTACCACCTCGCAAGGGTACTTTGAACTTCTTCTTCTCCCTTTGATATTCACAAGTAGTAATGTTGCAAAGAAAATTACTTATTGTTCTATCAACAAAAATGGTTCTGGTGTATTCATGTATCATTTATGCACTACTACTGTGGAAAATCTGTAAACTTTGTTCATTTATAATAAATGGGGGAAAGAAACCTTGATCTTTGGGGAAAATATGCAGTATATGATTGCAGTACGGGCACATTTGCTGGAACGGTGAAGGGTGAGCTCACTTCAACACCTCCTATTTTCAACTTGGATGAAGATGGCGATCTTGTTCTAACTCGCCGCAGAAGTAAGTTGTCCACTTGGTAAATTCTGACACTAATGTGAATCTTTCTTTTTGGTTAGTACTGTTCAGGCACCATATATTGAAATTAAGTAAAAATTTTCTCCTTGTTTTTGCTTGTATTATTCATTTATTCTTGCCTTTTGGTGTTGTTTGGCAGCTTGGCAGTTGGCACTTAGGAGTGCATATTAATTTTTTCTAGGGAAAATTGTAACCTCAAAATATGCCAATTATCAATGTCACCCGAATCCCTGAATTATTATGGTGTAAATGTTGCCCTCAATTTTCAAAACATGACATATATTGTCTCTCCCCTTAATTATTAATGGTGTAAATGTGGTTATCCGTCGTTTTCCCTGTTCGAAGACAATGTTCGTTTTCCTTCATTTTTCTTTCTTCGTTTGTTCTCTTTCCGCCGACAACAATGTTTCTCATTTCCTATTAGGAGAGGGGCAATATATGTCACGTTTTGAAAATTGAGGGGCAACATTTATACCACTAATAATTCAGGGGTGAAGCATGTTTGTGGGGGGCATAAATTACAAATTTTCTTTTTTTCCTGTTCATCCACTTTGGCATTTTGATGTGATGAATGCTAAAGTTTTGCACTCTGGTTTCTACTATATCAAAACTTGAGGATACAGCTTTCTTTGAATAATTAATCTTTTAAAGCTTCACTAAGTAAATTGGAAGGGATCCATGTTACCTTAGTAAAACCACAACAAAGGTTATTTTCCCTTGTTCTCTCGTTCCCAAGTTGGTAATGGAATTACTACATAAGAAACTAAGTAAAAGGGTGTAAAATGGAATTTGTTAGGTGAATATCTTCATGAAGTTAGCAGGACAAAAAAATCATAGGTTCCTGGGCATAGAATCTGTGTTAAATGGAGCTTTAGATTGCTAATTCCTAATTTTATTATAGAGCATTAGACATTTGCTTTTCAGATTAGTTCTCCATCCTATCATTAGTTTGATTAGTGTGATTGAAACGTTTGGTCATTCTCCTTTATCCACACTTTGCAGAACCACCTAAAGATCAAATTATTATTACTATCCAACATAACATCACGTCATCAATTCCTAGAGTCGGTTTGCAGGTAATAAAATGTTTACCATCTTTTATCATCAATTCTTACTTCACAACTTAAGTAGGTATGACTTCTTTCCAGGTGATATTTCATGTCTTCAAATTGGATAATACTAATCAGAACTCTGTGCACTGTGCACATGTTTTCTTTCCAGTTATATATTGTCTTGACTTGGATGAATGATGTTTCTATCTGGCATGTGTTCAGTGTTCTACTACTGTTCTGTTTTCTTATGTCAGATATGGAGGGCAGAACTGGTGCTTGCTGATTTTGTGCTGCATATGATATCTATTTCATCAATTTTCGATGGTAAAATTGCAATTGAGCTTGGCGCTGGTACAGGTGCATTTCAACTTTCAAGCATTGCTTATCTGTTCTAAGCATTATAGATTTTCTAGTCTACAATCTTGACAAAACTCTATTTATCTACTAAATGGTTGGCCCTGTTTAGTAAATGACTGTTAGCTAATTGGGTTAGAGAGTATGACTAGTTGATAACATTAGCTGATTGTAAAAAAGTGTTTGGTAAATTAGCTGTTAGCTGATAGCTGTTTGATGTAATTTCTTTTCTCAAAAAGCTAATTGAAAAAGTTGCTTTGAGCAGCTTTTTGAATTTTAGCATTTTGGAGTTACAAAAAGCTGATTAACCAAACACTTATATTGATTTTTTAACCAAGTCAAACAGCTAATAGTGGTCAAATAAGCCAAAATTGGCTGTGCACAACTTTCTAGCTTCCTCTTCAAAGTTTGTGTACACCTTGAACCCAGAAACATATTGTCTTTTTTTTTTTTTGATTGGATTTTTTTTGTTCAATTGTCTCCATCAGGGTTGGTTGGCATGCTACTTGCCGATGTTGCTAAAACTGTTTTCATAACAGGTATATAATCATTTTGCATATATGCTACTTGGTGGATTATCTTAAATAGTTGTTGTTGCTTTGTGGTCATGTAGGTTGGCGGTAAGCATTCTTATTCAATGAAATAATATCGTTACACTTATGTCTCAGCTATTCGTATTTTGAGCTTTTTTAGCAAAAGAGAATACATTATTCCAACTCTTAATGATATGATAGAACTTTAAGGCTTGCTCCCTTTATGTCAGATCGTGGTGAGGAAATACTTGATAATTGTGCTAAAAATGTACATATTAATGCTGGAATATTCCATCTAAATGCCCAAATCCATGTGCGCGAACTTGATTGGAAAGATTCATGGCCTCCTCAAGTGGCAGAAGATTTGGAATCCAAAAAAAAGGTGTAACTGATTTCTAATTCTTTCTTTTTTCCTTTGCTTTTTAACCTTAAACACTTGTGAAGTATATATGTTTTTTAATGTAGTAAAGTCATCTTCCAGTTACACTTGGACACAAAAAGAAATTGAGGAACTCAAAAATGCTTCATTACTTCTAGCTGCTGATGTAATTTACAGTGATGATCTGACTGACGCATTCTTCAGTACCTTAGAGAGATTGATGTCTGAGAACCCAGAAAAGGTATAGCCTAAAGAGCTTAACTTGAAATTTTGCTGAGAATCAAAAGCTCCAATTTATGACCTTTTGCATGTCCTATCCTACGCTTTTGCACACTTCTTGTTAGGCATTGGCTTCATTTTGGCTTGCTGGATTGGAGTGCTTTGCTGACACCTGAAAGGTTTATCTGAAACGAATGGTTTTCAGGTATTATACTTGGCATTGGAAAAGCGTTACAATTTCACCCTTGACGATCTTGATGTTGTTGCAAATGGATACTCGCATTTCAGAAGTTATCTTAGAGACGGTAAGGCAAAAAGGAAGCTAATTAGTACTTTACCAATTGAACTTCCACTGCAAACTTTCCAACTTATTCACATCATTTATCATGCAATTTGTCAGTTGATGATGCAGAGCATAATGAACTCGACAGCTCATCTTCTTCGCCCTGCTTTCTGGGTAAGCAGATCAACCTAAAGGAGATTCCAAAATATGTAAGAGAATATGATAGAGGCAATGATGTTGAGATCTGGGAAATCAAGTACAAACACTAGATCCTAAGCTCTGAAAGTAGTTTTACTTATATCAGATGATTGGATTTAGATCTTGTGAAGCTCTGCTCTGAATATGATTGGATTTAGATCTTGTGAAGCTCTGCTCTGAATATTGTATAATTTTATCAAAGTATTCATTCTTTTAAGAAGACTGAACATACTGCACCCATTCTGAACTTCCCACAAAACATGCATAAAATACTTGTAAAATATTTTATTGTTTACCGTGTTTATAGGCAAATTATTTTGTGGATCAGGGTCCACAATGCAGTCCAGATTATGTACCTTCAATTAACAAATTATGTCATTGTCATGCTCCCTTTGCATGTTGAAGTCATATATTAGTACAACCAATATATATATATATATATATATATATATATATATATATATATATATATGGGCACACTCTCATGCGAACGGCCGTCCACGGGAGAACTGAGAACCATTTGGTGCATGTAAATGTGTTATATGTGCAAGTAGTTGGTACACTTTTATAAGTAAAAAGTGTAGGTAAAATCACTTACAAGTGCACCTAGTTTTACCTACAAATGCATGTAATTTTACCT